TTCAAGTGAGTTGATTGAATTTATGTAAAGTCATAAACATTTTCATTTATTGGTTATAAGCATGTAAAAATCATTTTTTAAAATCAGCGTTAAACAGATATTTTAATGGGAAAAGTGGTACTATTTATAGATGTTCCCAGAGCTCTGAAATAACCCAGGAATAAATTTAGCAAGAAATGAGTGTACAGAAAAAAACTATAAAATTTTATTGAAAGACATATAGAAAGACCTAAATAAATGGCGAGACATGTAACATATTCTCAGGTGGGAATAATTAATATTAAACAATCATCATTCCCCTGTCAAGCTAACATAAATTCCTATGAAATTACTATGCCGTGCTATCCTGTACCATAAAAACTGTGAGGGACAATGAGCTTCAGCATTAAAATGTTTGTCTAGTTCTGAAAGAATAAATTTGTGAGCATAAAGAATATTTTGGAGAATGATGAGGGATGACTCACCCAACCCTAGGCAGTAAACCCGGGTTATCTTCCACCATAATAAATACAGAGAGAAGCACCTCTGAGTGTCTTCAATAGACCGGGTACAGTAGGTTTGCCAAAGATGACCCTTCCGCCCAGTAGGGAGTAGCCAGATACCTGTTACATGACAGTGAGACAGCTGACCTCTGAATGTCCAGCCTGAGCGTTATTGTGATATATCACATTATCATCAGGGACAGATCAAGTCAAGTTGAATGTGAAAAGTAAAATATGAAGCTTCAAGAAGAAACCAGAAAACAAAGGCACAGTGTTCGCAGTGTGCTAGGCATTCTGTTAGGCTGTCCAGAAGAGCAAATGTTTGTGCATGGAACACGGAAACACAGGCACAGCACGTGAAGTAAAGCAGAATCACGTTGTAAAGCAGTGTGTCTGTCACTGTTTCAGTTGTTGAAGAATTGTGACGTTCATCTCTGTATCAGTGAAAGGTAGAGAAGCGTATCCAGTCATGAGTTTTACTTCCCTGTATAAAGACAGTCGTGGTGACTTGCACTTTAGATTCTGTGCACTGTGGTGGTGTGAAGTTTGTACGCTGGGTGCCTGTCTCCTTCATGATATTTAAAAAAGAGAAAATTGACTTGACATGTCTGAAGCCGCGCGGCCTACAGCGAGACGGAGAGGCTGCTGGGTGCTGAGGGTTAGTTAGCTGGACGACAAGATGTGGGGAGATGAGGTTCATCATGAGATCAGGCCACACGTAGGGCAGGAATAAATGCTAGTCTGAATATTGTGCTTGGTAGTAGAACACTCTGAAAGTATGGTTTAGTTATGGTGCGGTGAAGCCGAGCTGGGGGGGAGGAGGATGGGTCTGTATTCAGTAAGCCCCAGATAGCCCAACAGTGGTTCACAGGAAATAGACTGGAGTTGTACACTCACTGTCTCTCCAAAGTCCTGGGAAGAGTCCATGGGGATTTTCTCAGTGATCTTCCAGAGAGAGGACAGACAAATGTTACCAGGACTCCACTCTAAGATGGTGTTTCTCTCCAGCACCCCGTCACATAAGTACATGCACGCAAGGGGAAGGAGAAGCCAGCATGTTATCCACAGGTGCTCCCTCCCCAAGAAAAACATGTTCCCATGACAGAGACATGCGTGTGTACAGCCAGCAGTGCCATTCCTGGTGGCATCTGCTGGGCTGGGACTCCAAAGCGTGTTGTGACAAAGCAGGGCGGGGTAGAATTGTACTTCCGATAGCAGGTTGAAAATATCATCATTGGAAAGTGCATTTAATATACTAGCCTGTGGGACTGCACCAATGAGTGGCACAACGCCCTGTAGTGTGTCGCCAGCTTCCCCTCACTGCCTTGGGGATCCCTGGAAGCTGTGCTCATTGCCCGCGCCCGCCATCACCAGAGAGGACCCAACCACGCATTGCTAGTCCAGGAAACAATCAAATTCACAATTCCCTGGGCAGCTTCTACTGAAGGCATATCGCTTTTTCACCAGTATAAAGTCAGAAATTCAAAACTGTCTTACGTTAGGAGCCATCTGTATGGTGCATTGCATTTTCAAAACACAACAGAGTGGCATGCAGTCACACATGGCTCCGCGGCAGGCATATATCCAGAGAGATGCATCCTTCGTTGATCTCATTGTTGCATAGACACCATAGTCTAGATAGGCACACCTATGCATGCAGCTTGGCCTGTCATTGACAGATGCGGCAGATCTGTGGATGTGCACACATCTAGAAAAGGTATGAAAACATCATCTGGATAAACTCCGAGTTCTCAAGAGTTGTCACCCTGGGAAGAAGGGAGGGCACTGGCCCAGTATAGGCGCATGGGAAACATCAGCTCTTATCTGAGCAGCTTTAGTTCTCAGAGCAAGGGAGGGGCTTAAGCAGTTGTACAAAATTTTGATAGATGTTCATGGAGGAGCGGGGGCTGGGGGAGAGACAGAAGCCAGAGGCGAGGTTGGTAGCCGTGATCAGTATGTGACCAAGCCTTTACTTTCCTGTAGAACGGAGTCTGGACATTTTCAGCCACATTCAGCGGGCCAGGAACTTGGTTCATTCTGAGCAGTCCGATAGGTTTTGTATTTCACTATCTGCACTCGTGCGTTTGCCTTGGTGTGAGAGGTAGAGAAGTGAGCCACAGCTAACTGGGATGAATCTGACTGACCTGAGCTAAGGTGAGACTGTGTGCAGATGGCCTGTTCCCAGGGGCTGGGAAGAAGGTCGGCTCACCCACACCAACCCCCGCTTCAGCCCTGAGATGTCCGGTTTTGTTGTGAAGAGTTCTGTTTTCTGTGGTTTTATGTGCACAAACGTTCTGAATATCAAAAACAAGCAGTCTGGGTAGGTACCTTCATGTGGGTTTTAGAGGACTGTAGACTGTTTTTACTTTTTAGGGACAGGCAAGACTGTCATATTGTAACATCTCAAAATGTTTTACAAGCAACTATAAATACAGTTTTCTGTCTCCCAAAAAACCATTTCTTGGTGTAGCACACACAAAGGAGATAGAGTTTGGAGTAAAACCCGTTTTTCAAGTCTCATGAACAGGACACCTTCTGGAGTCTGCACTTACATCTTGGAACTGACAGGCACACTGTTTTCTGCAATCTTGATCTAATTCAGTGTCTGGAACTTGCAGTCCTCCCTCTCTTGGTTACATTCAGGGCCGTAGCTTTGGGGTGTCAATCAAACCGTTCTGGCCACATCTCAGCCTCTGCAAGTTGAGCTCTTTCATCAGCAAAACTTTGGGCAAATCTCACATCTCGTCTAAATTAGAGGTGTAGCCTTGACTTCAGTCCCACAGTTAATGTTGTACAGAGAAAGAAAACAGTGCGTAATGTTCCAGTAATGTGCAAACCAAAGTGATTGAAATGAAAATGATGTGATACTTCCAAGAAGGTACTGTTTTCACACATGGATCAGTTAGGATTAGGCTCACCCACAAGTAACAGCAACAGTGAAAAAAGGGACCTGAAGCTGTAGATGTTTGTTTTGCTCTTACATAAAAGAAGTTCAGGATAGGCAGTGTGGTCTAGTGTACCAGCTCCTGGATCGTCAGGGGCTCCATGCTGCCTGGTAGTAGAGTAGAGGATGGTTGCCCAAGCCCACCCATCACATCTGTATCCCAGCCAGAAGGAGGGGCATACATAATCCCTCTTGAGGAACCTTCCTGGAAATTATGTATAGCACTTCTGTTTGTGTCACGTTGGTAGCCTTGATCCCAGAGCCACAGTTAGTGAGAAGAGAAGCCCAAGAGAAGCTAAGACATTTCCTGATTCTTATCTGTTCTCCTTCAGGTTAAAAGGTGAGTTGCCAATCTACGGTCAGCGTGGCACAGTTTCAGAGGCTTCCCCAAACACAGCATTGAGTTTCTGCCAAGTCACCCATGTCCTGCTCTCTGTCAGCATCTGCCAGGCCACCAGCCAAGGACTGGGAGAGCAACCCTTGGCCTTTTCCACACTACATGACTAGGATCTTTTTTTTTTTTTTAAGATGTATTTATTTATTTGAAAGGGAGAGTTAGAGAGAGAGAAAGAGAGAGAGAGAGGTCTTCCATCTGTTTGTTCATTCCACAAATGGCTGCAACGGCTGGAGCTGTGCTGATCTGAAGCCAGGAGCCAGGAGATTCTTCCAGGTCTCCCCTGTGAGTGCAGAGGCTCAAGGACTTGGGCCATCTTCTACTGCTTTCCCAGGCCATAGCAGAGAGCTGGATCGGAAGTGGAGCAGCCAGGACTTGAACCAGCGCTCATGTGGGATGCTGACACTATAGGTGGTGGCTTTTACCTACTACACCACAGCACTAGCCCCTAGGAAGTCTTCTAAATCTGCCAAACTGACCAGCCTTGCTATGCATTCCTGTGTATAGTAAAGATCGGTTTTGAAAACGGTTTAAAACACAACCAAAAGTAAGAATGTGATTGTATAAACCATGACTATTCCTTCTTGTGGAATGTGATGTAATACCCTTTCATATCATCATGGTGCCGTGGGGGAGGCTGTGTGCAGAGCACAGCAGTGAGGCTGAAGGTGACGCATGCATGTCATGTAGGCCGTCATCATGGGGAGCAACCCAGCTCCCCCTCAGGAGACTCCCAAGTTTGCAAGTGAAATGGGCATAATGAAACCTTAATTTTTTTACCAACCAGCTTAAAGTTTATTTTTTATACTGTGTAACATAAGGCAAAATTATTTAAAGTTATTCTCCATGTTGCAATTCCTATCACTGTCCATCAAAGTTGTCTACTTACTTCTCTTAAGTCTTGAAGGCCTTTTGAACAAACTATTGCTTAATTCAAGGTCGTCATGTCAGCCCTGCATAAGAGTGACATGAAAACAAGTCCACTTTTTGAGGGATGCTCAGAAGTCAAGAATCCTTTCTGGGGGTTAGTCTACTTTGGATCCTGCTACATACAAACTGGTTACTAGCAACCCATAAAAGATGCCAGTGATGCAGGCATGCATTGTGATAAAATCTCAAACTGGCTGTTGGAAAACTTCATTATGTATAGCTATTAAAACACACATAAACATATATATGAAAATGTTCCCAGTAGATTTGATGGCTAGCACGGTAGCAGAGAAAACCTGGTGGGAAATTTTTTTATGGTCATGTCACAGCAAGTGAAAAACTGTATTCTAAAAGCATTGGTAATGACCAGAAACCTTATTTTTAAAAGCCTATGTTTTGAATGGACAATAATCATAATAAGATACTTATATACATTCAGTAGCCTCCTTGATAATAAAAATGATCATGTTTTTATCAGCTGGTTTACCTGAGTTGGTCTCTGTTCCATCTATAAGGACATAAGGCCAGGCTGCAAACAGGCCAATGAGAGGAGGGAGAGGGGGATGGCAAATGGGGGACTTTTTTTTCTTTCTTTGAAATGAGACGAGTCCCGGCTTAGAGATGGGGTGGAGCTGGGGACATGGGGGTGTGAGAATTGTTCCCGATCTTTGTTCCCATTCCCTATAAATAAAGCTCTCTCCTGGTCCTCTTGGGGCATCACTGCTCTGCCAACGGTAAAAAGTGGGCAGTGAGCGTGGTTGAAAGTGCTGGCCTTTCTTTCTTACATCACATTTGCTGATAACCATGCACTAATTTTATAAATGAACTTATTTGGGCACTGGTTTGAGTCCTGGCTGCTCTGCTTCTGATCCATTCCCTGCTAATGCAGCAGAAGATGGCCCGAGTGCTTTTGCCCCTGCCACCCATGTTGGGGACCTGGATGGAGTTCTAGACTCCCAGCTTCTGCCTGGCCCAGTCCCCGCCCTTGCAGCTGTTGGGAGAGTAAACCAGCAAATGGAAGGCTCTGTTTCTCTCCCTCTTTCTCTGTCACTCTGTGTTTCGAAACAAAATGCAGAGAAATCTTCTCGTAAAAAAAAAATGTAGCTGAGAGCCACCTGCTGTCCCAGTGTGCCCCTGCTGTTCTTGTTACACTGAATCCCCTGAAGTCCTAGGTCCACTGCACAGGCAGAGAGACTGGAGGGACACAGGAGAGGCAAGGTGGTGCCTGCACGCCCCCCCCCCCCCCGCTCCAGCCACCCCCTGGGTTAGGAAGCAGGACTGCTGGGGTGCCGTGTAGAAGCAGTCACTTGACAGCCCAAACCATCAGGCTCTGCCCTTCATGCCAGCCCACAGCTGCCACAGAGACCAGCCAGGCTGATCTGGCTGTCAGTGTTATCTCCCTCCCCACACATCCATTCCCCCTTTCCCAAGCAGCTACCCGTGCAGCTCTTCTCTCTTCTGGCCCAGCCCTGGCTCCCCCTGAGCCCAAGAAGTCCCAGGGCTAAGCTAGCCCAGGCCAAATCAGCCCCCATCTACCTCTGGAAGACGCCCTCAGAAAGCACAGAGATTCTCTACCTGACATGGGAGCCTCAGCTTTGGGTACAGGTCTCTTGTTGCAAGGTGGGGAATAGGGGGTGCCTGAGCTGTCCCGCAGCCAGTCAGAAGCATCCGCATCTGAGCAGTCCTGCTGGTGGCTTGGTTCAGGCCTCCACCCAGTCACCTGGGGGCAAAGCCAAGGGTAGAGGCAGCCTCTTCCAGGGACCTGGGCAGGTGGAACCCAGAGGCCACAGGCACGCAGGAGCCGACATGGTTCTTCGGAGTCTGACCCTTTCCCGTGCTGCTGACTCTTTCTTAACTCCCCAGCACCTTCTCCTGGGCTCGATGCCTCAGATATCTCTGAGCTGCTTGGCAGGACATGCCAAGAGCTTGTTTCCTTTATTCTCACTAAGACCCAAGACCCTGTATTCCCTCCAGGGTGGTGGGGGCCACAGGCACAGCCCCTGAAAGGGCGAATGAAATGCCCCAGGCCAGGGCATTTTACTTTCCTGATTGCACACAGTGAAGGGAATGATGGCATCAGGGCTCCCTTCACTTGCTCCTTTGTTTGTGTGACGCCGACTTTTCCGTGTGGTTCCACGAATCTGGTAGAACAAGGCATCCTCAGATGCTGGAGTGGGAAGATGTTCCTCTTCATCCTTCGGCCTGCGACTGTGCTTTGTGACCTTAAATGCAGATTCAGTGGCTGAGACTCTGGGATGGGCGCCCCAGGGAGCAGCCTGTGCTGCAGGTGCAATACCTAGCAGGCCTGAATAATCATGAAATGGACCTGCTTGTAAGAATCAAGTAGTTCCAGACAGCACCGCAAAAATTGATGCATCTGGCTCTTCCATCCTGGTTAGAGATCGTCAGAGGTAGCCTGTGCCGGTAACTCCTGAGTGTTTGGGCTGAAATCCAAAGGAGGAAGTATCTTTTATGTCACAACCATGTGCCAGACCCAAACAATAGTCATATGAAACAATGTACCTTGACTTGTTATGTGTGAAGAATCCCAGTGTTTTCTTATTTTCTTCCTCTTTTAAAAAAACGTTGGCTGCAGCTCAATACACTGATAAAATGACGCATTAATGGAATGAGGTCACTCACCCTTTGTTTCAAAAACTCTGAACTGCCTTCTTACATTAAGTCAGTACCCTGTGCCAGCTCACAGCTCACAAGTTTAGAATATTTTCCTTCTGTCTGACTGCCTTCTACAATCTAGGAATTATAGAAAAATACCAGGATTGCTGGCCTATTTACTTGATTTTTAAATTCTGTCATCGGTTTTCCTGTTAATTTGGAGTAATGGTTCCAGAGAAAAGTTACTGTCATTGTGTGTGTATGTGTTTATGTTCTTTCCTAAAAAGTTTTAAGATACAATGCACTCACCTCTTGACAGTTATACTTTTTGCCTCTTTGCATTCGTTCTCCTAAGCTACTCAGTAGAATGTTCTGTTTCGTCTTTGCATGGTTTTAGGTTAAGTCATGTTGGTAGCTGAGTCTATCAGATTTATTCAGGTTCAAGTTAACTTTCAAGTGTCCAGTTCTCAAGAGCTGCAACAGGACAGCTCTGCCCAGCGCCAGCATCCCACACCCTGGCCTCGTGCCAGAACTTGCGGACCCTGATTGCTAAAAGGTTAAAGGTGGTCATCATCATGACAGTGTGCAGATGCTCAGGCTCCCTGTGAGAAGATGGGCACCATCTGAACATGCACTCATGAATTTTAATTCAGCTGGATTTTCATCAGGGAGGTAAAAATAACATACATAATTTAATTTTCATCTAAACACATTTTTTTTCCCCAAAATTAAATTTCACTCTGGGCAAAATCATTTTACAAAATGTGATGATCATGGTTCCAGTGTCTCTAACTGATTAGCTGTCTGGGGGCAGGAGCCTCCAACACCAGGGTTGGAGTGGCCTCACTGGCATGTCCTAAGTTCATGTTACTGTCCCACCATCAAGTGTGCACCTGTGTCCTCCTCATACATTGTCTTCTGTGTCCCTTCATCCACTTCTGCCCTCGGTAACTTTCTCCCACCCTCTATACCACTGCATAGTCTTCCATCTTATGCATAAACTTGGTCATCACCAAACCGTTACATAGGGGAGGGGGAGACACTGTTATTGATGCTGGTTTATGTACTGGTTTCTTCTTCCTTTGGGACTCCTGGTACATCTGCGTGCCCTATGGGAAGCTCACCCTAAGGGGATTGTAGATTAAATAGACACAGCCCAGTGATCAGAAAGGATTTGGTTTTTAGTAAGATTTCGTTAATTTGAAATGCGTTAGATCTCCCAAATTAACATGTTGGGGTTTTTTGGTTTTTGGTTTTTGGTTTTTGTTTTTTTTTTTGAAAGATTTATTTTTTTATTTCAAAGCTACTCCCTGAACGGCTGCAACAACCAGGACTGGGCCAGACCAAAACCAGGAGCCTGGAATGCCGTCTGGGTCACATGTACACAAGCCATCTTCCACTGCTTTCCCAGGTGCATTAACAGGGAGCCAGATCAGAATCGAAGCAGCCAGGACTTGAACTGGCACTTATATGGGATGTCAGTGTGACAAGTGGCAGCTTAACTCACTGCACCACAGTACCAGCCCCAATTAATATGTTCTAAATCAAGTTCAGTGCCGTAATAATGCTAAGCTTTCCTTGAGTTCCTGTAATGGTTCACCCTGATACTCTTAACCTTCTAGTCACTGAAAAAATGATTAAAAATCCTCAAAGGCTGGCCCACCTGGAGTGCAAGTTCAGTATTCCCCTGCCTCCGTGGCTTCAAACTCAACATTTCCCGAGTTTATCTGCAGAAAGCTACAGCTGAGTAGACTCAATTACGTAGTGCAGAAAATGGTCCAGTTTCCTTTTTTTTTGGGGGGGGGGGGGGTGTTGTTCAGAAATTACAGCCCACACTACTAAAGCATGAAATCCCACCTGGCGTATACCTTGCTTCTTTCTGTGTGGAGATTTTGTTTTTGTCTTTGTTTCTCCTGAGGAAGTAAGAGTGCACGCTGCATGAAAGCTACAGTTTCATCCGCCCCCCTTACAAGAAATTTTTCAAGAATTAAGTTAGCCAGGTCTGCTCCATGTGGACATATTTCTTATCTCAACCCATTTTGAGCTGAGCAGGTTACAGAGACTAGTTCTGTTGTGTGAGGCCGCTAACAGTGCATAAATTCAAGTTCATGTCCAAAAGTAATGGGCAACTCAGTATATTGTGTATTTGATATATATATTTGCATGTATGATAGAAAAACTATGCCATTATAAAGTGGCTATGAAACGTGATGGCTCTAATTTCCTTTATCTTCTGAGCACGTAAGGAATAAAGGAGCCTCAGTGACGTAACAGTGCAGAAATTCGTTTGCAAATCCATGTGGTGTCATTCAGGTATTTCAAGCAGCCAGAAACTAAAGGAACAAGTATCTGGGTTCCTCAGTTTAACTGTAGCTCACAGACCGGAGATGATTCCTTGCAACATAAAGGACTGGAGCTAAATCCTGCGGAGAAAGTTGCATTTCCCCCCTACCATCTGCATGTGCATCTGATAACCAAAAATGAGGTCTAGAAAAGAAAATCAGGATGGGCTTTAGAGTCCCCCGTTTTCCCACTCGGTGATGGGAGGGCACTCCTGCCTGGAGGGCGTTGGGAAGACAAGCTGGGGTCTGCCCACTCGGAAGAGGGTTGATGGAATTCTTCCTGTCCCCAGGAGGCCACACGCAGTGTGGGAGCTCTCTGCCTGTGAAAGCTGTTCCTGTGTGGTGTTGGGTACCATGGCCAGGTGGAATTTGTGCTTGGAGCATCCTCTCGGGGCTGTGTCCATCAGACTCCCCTGCTGCTGCCGCAGGACGAGAAGGGAAGGTGCTCTGTAGTCCCTCACTGCTCTGCTCAGTGAGAGAAAGCAGGTTTCTCAGTTCAGGAAAGGGAGAAGCAAAGAGGGAATAGATAGAAAGAATTGATCATTGGCCGGCGCCGTGCCTCACTAGGCTAATCCTCCACCTGTGGCGCCAGCACCCCGGGTTCTATTCCCGGTTGGGGCACTGGTTCTGTCCTGGTTGCTCCTGTTCCAGTCCAGCTCTCTGCTGTGGCCCAGGAGTGCAGTGGAGACCTGGAGAAAGCACCTGGTTCCTGGCTTCTGATCGGTGCAGCGCACCGGCTGTAGTGGCCATCCGATGGGTGAACCAACGGAAGGAAGACCTTTCTCTGTCTCTCTCTCTCTCACTGTCTAACTCTGCCTGTCAAAAAAAAAAAAAAAAAAAAAAAGAATTGATCACAAACTTCATATTACCACAGCAGGTCATGTTTTAAAAAAAAGTCTGGATCCACTTAACCTATCAGCTCAAGAAAATTTGAAACTCCTTTTTATAGAATGAAATATTGAAGTACAAAGTCACAAAAGGAGAGATCAGGGTGACACTTCCTCATTAGGTCGTTCACCTTCTCCCCTTTGCCATCCCGTTAATTCGGCTGCCACTCTGCTTCCACACGTCAGTGATGGCTTCCACCCTGGCAAGATAGTGGAGGGTCAGTTATAGTCAAATGAGAGGAAACGAAGGTGGATCCTTCATTCTGTGAAGTGTGCGTTTAATCAGGAGTGCTTTTGAGTCAACGCCAAGTGGCAGAGTGCGCTTTGTGCAGTGGGGACAGCTTCAGGCCTGGCAGCCAGGGACCAGGGGCCAGCACCGTGGGCTCCGTGGCGTTATCTCTAGAAGGCTGCTCTCCTGTTACATCAGATGCAGGAGGAAATACAGTGCTTCTCTCTAGGTCACCAGGATTTTGTGAACCCTTGCTTTCTAGGGCTTCCCTGCGATGTGCTAACATGCATGATTTTTCTCTAAATTAGCATTTCCGTGATTGTGTGACAATCTGAGTCATAATTATCGCCACAGCTTTCCTGTGCTCTGTGCACAGTAAGTTGGGATGTGTTAGGATAATGTGAGATGCAGACACCGTCTCTCTCACGAATTTTCGTGGATACCGCAGGTGCCCGCAGTGATGTTTTGTGATTGTCGTTGTTCTGCAGCACAACCCTGGGTGGCAGAGCAGGTCATCCTGATACCCAGCTTCCTGGTTTCCCAGTTCTGTTCTCCACTCTCCATCTGAACCCAGATGGGCAGGTTGCTCCCAGTAGTTTTGTGCAAACAGCCCCTCCCTACGCAGCTTTGACCCACTAACCTTCCTTTCGGAGCTGACTACGGGTCTTACGGTTTGAATCAAGCTATGCTGCAGGCACTGCCAGTGACTCCTGTGCCTACACAATCGGAGTATCCGACGGCGTTTCCTGTTTTCATTCATGGTGGAAGTTGAATAACTGTAACACAAAGAAAGGAGATTGCCAAGACAAATAATTGTTGTGGCTTGTGCAAACACTGTATGGCGAGCCTTGTGAACTATGCAGCTCTGAAGTCTGCACGGCGTGCTTTTCAGGAAAGCTGAGTGGTGTGAAGTGGACCTGCTTCGTGGCTCAGGAACAGGTCTACATTAAATTCAACTTGAATAAATCTACACTCACGTAGCTCTTAATTCCCGAGCAGGAGCAAATATGATAGAGGAACACATTGCTGATTTTGGGTCACAAGGAGAGCTGCACTTAGCAAGAGTGCTTTGCCCTCTCCAAGATGGGTCTTCATATCAGTGTCTGCAGGGGGCACAGCACTTGCCAGTGTCAGTTTCCAGGTCACTGGTGATTCCTTATTTAAGTGGTTCTTATTTTTGAAATTACTGACTACACGGCAGCCTACCTTTTCCGTGCTGTTTTTCTTGGCAGCCTGCTATTTGAAAGCAAACAACATGAAAATGATTACATGCAGTATTTCAGAACAGTTTTCAAAGCATGAGAATTTGGCACTTTCGCCTGTTTTGTTCACACGGTCTGCCTCCATGTTTCCTTTGCCTGTGGAAGCCTTTGTACCTACATCCTGTTTCCTGCCCCCAAGCAAAGCTGTCTTTATTGCCATGGTTTTTTTTTTCCCCAGCTTGGCTTTCAAAATGTGAATTCAGGCTTAGGTAGCTTAAGCAGACATTTGAGATGATCGTATCTCATCAGATACGGCGTTCTTACCTTTCATTAAAACTGTTTAGGTATGCTGAGACAACAAAAAGACAAGTGTCATAGGGAAGATTATCGACATAGTCTTCATTCTATCTAATTCTATTTGACAGATCTGTTTCTCTGTTGAATTATGGTCTTTACACCTCCGTGGACTCCCAAGTCCCACACTCTTATTTCGCTTGCATGTGCCAGGGTCTGGGGATGCCCGGGTGGGTAAGGCATGGTCCCCTCCTGCCAGGGGGGTGGCATGTGAATCTACCTATAGGCCTGGGGCAGGAGCACGGTGGAGGGCAGGAGGGGCGACACGGGCAGGAAAAAAATGCCAAGACATTGCAGAATTGCACAGATGCTTATAAATTGTGTGTGGTTTCTAGCAAATACGAGGACTGTCATTTTTGGTAATGGCAGTGCCAAACTGTTTTTGTGAGCGATCACTGGTCCAAAGAAATAGTGATCAGTACTTTGAGATTTGCAGCGCTGGGAAGGACTGGTGACTCTATCCAGTGTACTGCTGCACAGGCTGGTCACCCATGAGCCAGTGCCGTTCCCCACCAGGACCCCCCCATACATAAAGGCCTTTGCCTTGTTCCTCTTTTGGGATCCTGTGCCATCAACTTGGGAAAGTTAACATTTGCTCTGCAGGGGGTACCCATGAGATAGGGATCGGAACTGTAAGTGGTCCTCACTGGTTTTGAGAGCTACTGGTAAAATCCAAAATTGTCCCAACTACAATGTACAAAGGAATCTCTTAGACTTTCGTCAAACTGTTCTGCTAGATTGTTTGTAGAAAGAAAACATAATAAAAATAAAATGGCTTATATCAATATCATTTCCAAGTGACCATTTTAAGGAATATTTTTTTAATTTGTGAAAAGCATATCAGTGGTCATAAAAACCTTTACATCATCTGGGCCTATGCCCTCACCCTCGGGAATTCATTCCAAGAATAGAATTTGAGAGAAGTTAGAGCTTGCATGCATGGACCTTTCTGATATAGCATTGTTTGCATTGGGAACAAGCCAGGCGTTCAAGAACAGGGGAATAGTTTACTTATAAACTTGGTACATCGACAATAAAATTATGAATTGCCACTTATAAATTTTGAGTGCAGTACACAAGGAAACTGATCCTTTTCAAGTGAAAGGGCAGACTACAAAATTCCACCTGCTCATCCACGTTACAGAGGGCTGTGAAGTACTAGTGGGAACTGTGAAGAACTAGAGCAGCTAATTATCTGTTCACATTTTGAAATGCCGTGTGAAGTTTCATCGTATTTATTCCCTTTAATTCATGTTAAATTGCATATGTCAGTAAATGCTAGAGACAAATATCTTCATTTGTTCACATTTAAATTTTTTTTTTTTTTTTACATCTTAGAGCATTTTGTTTTTCTGCTATTTTCTATCTGTGCCATAAACTATGACCCGGGGTGCACCGTCAGGATCTGGGGGATGTTTCAGAACTAACTAACTTTTTACTCCATCGTTACTGTTCCTCTCCTAGAACAGCCTGCTTCCCAAATTGGATGTCCTGCTTCCCGCATCTTAATGAGCATTCGTCTTACCTGGCATTTAGCTAAAATGCTGGTTCTGACTCAGTGGCTCTGCTGGGAGGCCCAAGACTCTGCAGTTGTAAAGTCACTCTCCGACGCAGCTGTAGCCATCTGTGAGTCACGTGTTGAGTAGCCAGGTCCCGGAGCATTCCTTTCGGGGTGAGAAAGATGCTCGCCTGGTGTCTGGCATTATCTCAGGAGGCGATGTCAGTGTCCTCTCTGCTCCCTCCCAGCTTGCCACCATGGCATTTCCAGCAGCTCGAGGAGGTGATAAGTGTGAGGAGCCCTGTGGTTCTGGAGTAATGGTGCTGCCTTCTAACAAGTCTGATGATCCACAGAGAAGCCATTTGACTAGCTTGAATGTTGTCAGTCAACAGGTGACACTAAAAGCAATGATTCTAAGTATAAAGAGCACGAAAGGCCCTTCAGTTACGCTGTCATTGTCCTTTGATATACCTTTGAACCTAGTCACAACATTGAAATTCTATCCGTATTAAGAAACGCTTAGGCCAGCGCTGCAGCTCACTAGGCTAATCCTCCGCCTGTGGCGCCGGCACACCGGGTTCTAGTCCTGGTCGGGACACCGGATTCTGTCCCGGTTGCCCCTCTTCCAGGCCAGCTCTCTGCTGTGGCCCGGGAGTGCAGTGGAGGATGGCCCAAGTGCTTGGGCCCTGCACCCCATGGGAGACCAGGAGAAGCACCTGGCTCCGGATTAGCGTGATGCACCGGCTGCAGCGGCCATTGGAGGGTGAACCAACGGCAAAGGAAGACCTTTCTGTCTCTCTCTCTCACTGTCCACTCTGCCTGTCAAAAACAACAACAACAACAACAAAAACGCTTAATCCTGGAAGAAAAGTGCTGGCCTTGGCAGTGGATTCTCTAGGCCTGGGGATGTGAATCCCTCTGTTCGGGGCATCTGATGAAGTAGAACACAGGAGAATCCGTTTACCTCTTCCTAGGAGCAGAAGGTCCTGGTGTGTGGCAGCCCAGAAGTGCCGAGCAATCGAAGCTGTCCTTTGCACTTCCCTCGAGACAGTGAGGCCAGAACCGACTGTAATTTGGAAGAGAGTAACACTTTTCCCACTTGCCTCCCCACAGTGACCGAAGCCGGGTTTGGAGCTGACATCGGGATGGAGAAATTCTTCAACATCAAATGCCGAGCGTCTGGCTTGGTGCCCAACGCGGTTGTGCTGGTGGCCACCGTGCGAGCGCTGAAGATGCATGGGGGTGGCCCGAGCGTAAGTCTCCCTGCTTCCTGACATGAGACACAGGCTGGCCTCTGAAACCTGGCTGCCTGCTCCTTCCCTGCAGCTGTCTGGAGTCCCTCCTGTCTGAAACCTTGCTTTACGTGTGGCCCCCACCGGGCTCTGAGGGTTTGGGGGCTTCAGGGACAGTAGTGCTCATGGGTGATTTCTAAGCAGCCTTTCAGACAGAGCCCAGTGGAGTCTCTTCTAGTCTTCCGTTGTGCACCTGGTTCTCGGGCCGGTGTTCTCTACCATGTGGTAGTGGGAGAAGAGAGGCCCTTGTTGCTGGAGGAAGAACGCGAGGATTCGCGCACTTTCTTTGATGCCTGAGGCTTTGCAGTGTTTATACAGATAGTCTTTTGGTTCACTGATGCTGCAGCTCCTCAGATTTCATCTAAAACTGTTTTCCTTCTGTTTCTGTTTATTATGATTTCACCTCATGGCTCTGTTATTGAGCTGGAATATTTCTAAGTGAGCTTTGCTTGGAAAACACACATTCTGTTTTCACATTTTCAAAGACTTTTGATGGCCATCTGTCTTGATCGGTATAGAATTTATAGACAGAAAAGGTACGTGTATTTTGTTTGGGGTTTGTTGTCTTTTTTTTTTTTTTTTCTTTTCTTCCATTTTAGTCGTTTCCAAGTGGAGAAAAGAAACTTTCCACTGGTTAATCATTTTGAAATAAAATAACTTGAGGTTTCCTTATCATTATAATGTTGATTTTTTGGGACAAACAGACCATTCTCATTTCTTAATTGGTGTATTGTGTAAACAGATGTCATGTAAGCAGTGATTATTACACGATAAAAACAATAGCAGATTGGCCATCAGGCAATACTGACATATATACTGTTTGATCTTCTTAGCAATTGTTTGTCCTGGGAGAGGCAAGCATTATTTTTCTATCATTGTACAGACAAATAAATTGACGTCTGCTGGTTTTACGGAATGTGGACAGTATCTCCAGGTCTGTAGAGAGCCAGATCGGAAGCTGAGGACTTGATTTAAATCCCTTGCTCTCTCTACCATGTTGAATTTAATGTTAGTGAAAAATAAAAATGCTTTACATCCCAAATGTCAGAGAATGTTCCCCGGTGTTGCTCACCTAACCCAGCAGCAAGCTGTAGACAAAAGCAGTGTGGGATGGTGAAAAGGTACTAACGTGGGCTTTTAGAACCTCTTCAATTCATGTCCACGTGTACCTCTCATTTGCTGCAGCCCCTCACCTTTGCCTAAACCTTCCAGCGTCATTTCAAATGCGAGATTGATATACTACATAATAGTAAAGCTTAAAGAATTCTGATTTTGCTCAGAACACTGGTTGCTGCAGTCATTCTTGGATATGTCTTTGAATCTATGTGCCGACTTCCATTTTCAAATTTGGATTTCTGTATGTGTAAGACGCAATGGAGGGTCCCCCTCCTGTCCTTCCCCCCTGAAAAATTATAAAACCAAAGTAATTCAGTGTGTAAAAGGGCTTAGAGATTAATCTGTTCTGGTTTGTTCTGTAAAAAGAGAGGCAGGGGCTTGGTTATGTTGGCAGCTAGTTAGACGGCTCATCAGACTTGAAAGTCAAGGTCTCTCCCACTCCAGTATTCATCCAGACTGTAAGCCTGGAGACCTTCTCTCCTGTCCTGTAAGACTCTTCATGATACGTGAATATAATCCTGTTTCCTTCCTTCTCAGTGTGCGCTCGGTTTGCGTTTAATGCTTCCAGCCTCTTCCACTCCCGTGTACAGTCCTGGTTCTGTGGCAGGGAGGATCGTAACCAGGCTCAGGGAGAGTGGAGGAGAATGACGGGCAGATTGGGAAGCGTGGTGTAAGCCACGTCTCCCTTTCCAGGCCTCCTGTGGCAACTCGGGCCTCGTTATGTTTTATGAATGTGTGTTTCCTACTCAGTTCTGAATGCCTTGAGATTAGGAACTGTGTCTTATTAATTGGTATGCCCCTGGTGCCTGGAATAGTCTGTATCCAGGAAGTGTTTTCAGTAAGTGGATGATAAATGAACTTCCATCTCCTTAATCCTCTGCTTCATATTACCCTTCTAAGGGTCGCTTCTTACTGGAAACATTCTGTGGTGGTGTTTGTGATCCATTAGAATTCCTGCTTCCTTTTGGTATCATTACACAAATAACCATGGCTGCCTCTAAGTTTATTCAGCTTGGTGGGTTTTTTTTCCCCTTCCCATAATTTATGCAGTGGAAAAGTTTGTGACCTTTGAACTTGCCCATTTTAGCCGTGAATTTTAAATTCACATCCTGTCTTCTAAACGGCTCGCCATTCTTGGTGTAATCCAAGCTTCACTACTCTGTTATACTTTTGGAACCACATAGTCCTTTTGCAATTAGTTCTTATTGGGACCAGCATTGTGGTACAGCAGGTTAAGTCAGTACCTCTGATACCAGGATCCCATATGAGTGCTAGTTCAAATGCAAGCTGCTCCATTTTTGACCCAGCTGGATGCACCTGGGAAAGCAGTGGAAGATGGTCCAGGTGGTTGGGCCCCTGCCACCCATGTAGGAATCCTGGATGGATGAGATTAACATGTCAATCAGTGGCCTTTGGGTATAGCAGGCTGCCTTCCATAATGTGAGTGGGTCCCAGCCAATGAGCTGAACATCTGAATAAAACAAAATGGACTCCCCTAAGCAAAGAAGTCTCCAGCAGACTGGAACTGCACCATTGGTTCTTGTGGGTCTTGTGCTACCATAACCATGCAACCTAATTCCTCACAACAAATATCTTTACACATATACTCCTTTTTGGTTCTAGTTTTCTGGAGAACTCTGAAAAAATAACAGGTTTATTTATATTTTTGAAAGAATTATTTATTTATTTATTTATTTGAAAGGCAGAGTTATAGAGAGACAGAGATATCTTCCATCCACTGGTTCACTCCCCATCTGGCTGCAGTGGCTGCGGCTCAGCCAGGATGCAAAGCTAGGAGTCTGGAGGTCCATCCGGGTCTCCCCTGTGAGCAGTAGGGGCCCAAGCACCAAGTGTGTAATGGGTAATTTTATGTGTCAACTTGGCTGGTTCACAGAGTACCCAGATATTTGGTCAAATGTTATTCTAGGTTTCATTTAGCTCCCTGTTTATGTGCAACGAAAGATGACGGCACAAGTCCTTGGGCCCTTACCACCCGTGTGGGAGATCTGGGGGGAGCTCCAGGTTCCTGGCTTCAGCCTGGCCCAGCCCTGGCTTTTGCCACCATATGGAAGATGCCTCCCTTTTGGTCTCCTCCTCTCTTTAACTCTGCTTTTCCAATAAATAAATTTTTAAAACTAAGATAAAGTCAAATTAAGGCAAAGGTTTCTGGAGCACTGGTTAGAATGCCACTTGGGATGCCCCCTATCTCTTCTCAGAGTGGCTACTTTCAAGTTCCCAGTCTACTTTTGATTCCAGCTACATGCTAATGCACACTCCAGGAAGCAGCAAGTGATGGCTCAAGTACTGGGTCTGCCAACCATGTGAGACTCAGATTGAGTTCCAGGCTCCTGGCTGCAGCCTGGCCCAGCAGGCATTAGAAAGTGAACCAGCAGGTGGGAGATACCTCCCTTTCTCCTCTCCCTTTTCTTCCTCTCTTTTAGATAAATAAATTTTATAAAAAATAAATGGAAGCAGATTCTTTCATTAGCATAGAGCTTACCTGTAAAACTGTCTGGGCCTGTTGCTCATTGGTAGGGTATAGATTTTCTTAACTACAGGTTAACCTACTTATGGAATAGAGGAACTTTTAGGTTTTTTGTTTCTTCTTAAATGAATTTTAATAAAAATATACTTCTGCAAATTGCTCTTATCTGTGTCTTCAAATATATTGCTATAGAGTTGGTCATAGTAACTTATAATCTTTTTTATTGTTATTTTTTTCATCTTACCACAATTTTGTGAATTTTGCTAGTCTTTTCTACAATCAACTTGATAATGTTGATCCTCTGGCCTTGGCTTACAATGTATCCTTCCTACTTTTACTTAATCCTTGGATTCTGTAGAATTCTGTGTGTGTACAAGCCTGCGGCTTAGCAATGCTGATTACTAGGTTCTTAATCTAGATTTTGGTTGTTTCGCTTGCGAATGTTGCCTGATAATTGAGTCTACAGTGTCTCTGGACACCGTTCTGTCCCAGTGGTAACTCCAGAGGATTGCTGACACCCTGACGACTTCTCCTCTATAGAAGAAAATCACCATGTCCTAGGGGAATCGGAATGTTCCCCGGTGTTCCTCACCTAACCCAGTAGCAAGCTGTAGACAAAAGCAGTGTGGGATGGTGAAAAGGTACTAACGTGGGCTTTCAGAACCTCTTCAATTCGTGTCCACGTGTACCTCTCATTTGCAGTGCAGTCCTGGGCAGGACACCTACCGTCTCTCTACAGTTTCTTCATCTTTACCCTGCTGTGCCAGCCCTCTGAGTTTTGTGAGAAACTAGACAATAAAATGAAGAAAATAGCAGCAATTACTTTACCAAGATACAGAACTGATATAGAATGTTGATGCATTCACTATAAATTAGGTGATAAATATGTCATTAGTTCCATTTTACACAAGGATAACAAGGAACAGTATGAATTTCTCAGCCTTGGCCCAGATTGGAGTCACTAGTGAGGTTTGGTTTTTTTGTTTGTTTTTTTCGGTGAACATGTCTGTTTATTAACAATCAGGCACAGGCTTTTGTGGGGCAGGCAAAAGGGGAGTAGCTAGTTCAGGGCAACACTAATTCTGTAGGATAAAGCAAATCACTAGTGAGTTTTTAAACATTACTGATGGGGCCAGTACTGTGGCGTAGCAGGTAACGCCACCACCTGAATGCCTGCATCCCATATGGGTACCAGTTATGTCCCGGCTGCTCCACTTCTGATCAAACTCTCTGCTAATGGTCTGGGAGAAGCAAATGAAGATGGCCCAAGTGCTTGGGGCCCTGCCACCCATGTGGGAGACCCAGAAGAAACTCCTGGCTCCTGGCTTCAGATCAGTGCAGTTCCAGCCATTGCTGCCAGTTGGGGAGTGAACCAGCAGATGAAAGACCCCTCTCTCTCTCTCTCTCTCTCTCTCCCTCTCTCTCTCTCTTTCTCCTTACTCTCTGAAACTCTGATTTTCAAATAAATATGTAAATATTTAAAATCGCTGATTTTGGGTCCCATTCCCAGAAATCCTGGTTTCTCTGATCTCGGTGGAGCCCAGGTATCTGTCTGAAAGCTTCCCACAAGGCTTTCTGTTTACCCACACTGCCAGTTCCTGGTTTAAATGCTCAAAATGTAGCACCACCTTCTCACAAAGTGACCATAGCTTGTTTTTCTGTTAGAACTTTATCCATCAGAATAAGCGTTTTTCTAGAATTTTTCCAAATTTTTGTCCCTGTATTTCAGGTAATTCCTGGCGTCCCTCTTAAGAAAGAATACACGGAGGAGGTAAGTGACACTTGGGTGAAGCCACATTCATATCCACTTAGCTCCTGGCTTGCGGTTAGCAATCAGTTTCTAATGTAATGGGTGTGATGAAAGGGATAAAATCTATTAGGTTACAAAAATCTTAAAAAAAAAAAAAAAAAGCTGAGGGTAGATTTTGTCTACTGTTCCCTCCAGCCAGGGCAGTGTCAGAGCTCAGTTCTCCAGGACAGAAGCAGATGTGATGTTTATACCTAAATCTTTTCTGGTTGTGGATAAGACAAGCTTTTGGAGTACAATACAGTCAGTTTATGACTTCTGCCAGTACTGTATTGACTTTTCTCTAAATAGATTTGAGCTTACTGGCAGCAGTACCTCTTAGTTCCTACAGGTGGCACTAGGGATTTGAGGCAAGAGTAGCTGACATGGCTCCTCACCACCTCCAGGCCTTGTGCCTTATGTCCACCAGCCTACAAAACAATGGCACGGTTGCTTGTATCCTGGCAACTGCCAGACTCAAGACCCAGAAATGCCATTGGATCTGGAATAACTGTAGACATTATTTTGAAAATGAAGCTCCTCCTTCTGCAGCCGTCTTTCTCAGAGGAAATGGTAGTTGGTGGTCTTAGTGAAAGAAGCCCAAGCTGCCCGAGTGGTGCTGCCCTTCCAGCCTGGCGGTCTGGTTGTCTTGCAGAACATCCAGCTGGTGGCCGACGGCTGCTGTAACCTCCAGAAGCAAATTCAGATTGCTCAGCTCTTTGAGGTGCCCGTGGTGGTGGCGCTGAACGTCTTCAAGTAAGTCAAGCCCCCTGCTTTCCACGTGGTCCCACCGTGGGGCCACCCGGTGAACTGCGCTTGTGTCCGGAGGGTGTCTGGTCTTCTCAGCCTCACCTCAAAGCAGGCTGTTTGTGTGTTTGGTTTCATTTTAGCAGATGCATTCTCAAAATGTTATTAGAGAAATGAAATTTACATATTGAATTTCCATTTCCGTAGCTTTTCCTTTTTCTTTAATTCCACGCAGCATGTCTTTCTAACTAAATGATCAAAAGGCTGGGTTGTGGAATTTTCTCAAAAGAACCCTTAACAACCTGTGTTTCGAGTCGTGTGCAGAAGATATTTTTCCAGGCCTTTCTTTAAGTTTGATTTATTTAAACACAATGTGACCACTTTTGATGTTTAAAATATATTCAGTGTTAGGGAGCAAAGTTCCATATAAACGGTTTATCTTTCTTTAAAAACATTGCTAAGTGAACACAGATGCGAAACCACAAACGTTTTCATCACCAGGACCGACACCCGCGCGGAGATCGACTTGGTGTGTGAGCTGGCCAAGCGGGCTGGCGCCTTTGATGCGGTCCCCTGCTATCACTGGTCGGTTGGTGGAAAAGGGTCCGTGGACTTGGCTCGGGCTGTGCGCGAAGCTGCAAATACAAACAGCCATTTCCAGTTCCTGTACGATGTTCAGGTAAGATGCGATGACAGTGACACCAGCGCTAACGCTGGCTCACGTTTCCTGCTCCCTAACCATGCGCCCAGGCGGCAGTGAGCACTCTGCGTGGGCCTCCCCCTTCGGCTTCGTGATACCCTGCAGAGAAGGAGCCTGGGGATCACAGAGAGCAAGGCCCACTGACAAGAGTCCTGTGCCATGAGCAGACCCCAGCTGTGTGCCCCAGAGCTGTGCTCTCAGAGACAAAGCTCCGCTTCCAGGTGGTGGCCCAAGTGAGGAGGCGCCTTGGCTGTGCCGCTCACACTTTGAGGGACTGGCCGGGAGTGAGACTGCTGAGCAGGTGCCTAAGACCTGTGAAATCATGGAGGTACTCTCCTCATCTGCTCCTGCCATGGTTCCTTTCCCTCCTCGTGGCTTCCTTGAGTTATCACTAGTGTATGGGTAGGCGACTTCAGCCACCTCACCGAAGTGCAGTCATGCACTACCCGTCTTTTTGTGACTGCCTGATTTCACGTGGCACAATGTTCGTGTGTATTGTAGCATGTGTCCAGCTTCCCTTCCCCCCTCCTTTTTAAAGATTTTATTTATTTATTGTATGCGTAGAGTTACAGACAGGGAGAGGGACAGACAGAGAGAAAGCTGGTTCACTCCCGAAATGGCTGTAACAGCGGGAGCTGAGCCAGTCTGAAGCCAGGAGCTTCTACTAAATAATGCTTTGATGAAGCTGTGGGTTCAGGTTATTTATGCAACTATCTTGTCAAGACCTTGTTTTTTAATTCTTTTGATTGAATAGTAAGAAGTAGGATTTCTGGGTGAGTACATACACACACACACACACTTGTCCTCGTGGGGCACCCATCACTGCCAGAGGGCTCGGCCTGGAGGCTGCAGCGTCTTCTCCCTTCCCTTCACCCATCTCACGTTCTGCTGGCCTGTTCCTCCGACGTCACTGACGGCGACATCCCTCCTCTTTCCTGGTCAGATGCACGACTCAGCAGCAGAAGGGAAGAGGAAAGCACAGGAAGTGAAGAGAGGGCTGAGCAGCATTGCGTGTGAAACAAGAGTTATCAACAACCGCCGGAGGTTGACTCCTTAGTGAGGCTGTTGCTTTAGGAGGACTTTTGTGTGTCACATAGATGGGCATCTTGCATGTGTTCAATTTTATATGTATGTGTTTGTGTGTGTGTGTATACACACATACATACACACACACTTTTGTTCATTAATGTAAGAGGCAGCGAGAAAGAGAACTCCCATCCTCCAGTTCACTCGCCAAATGCCCCTAGTGTCTGGGACTGGGCTGGACCAAAGCTTCAGGCTGGGCACTCAGTCTGTGTCTCCCACATGGGTGGCAAAGACCCAACTTCTTGAACCATCACCTGCTGCCTCCCACGCTGCACAAGAGCAGGAAGCTGGAAGTGGGAGCAGAACACTTACTCGGATCCTGGTTCTCCCACGTGGGAAACCCAAGTGGCATCTTAACTACCAGGCCAAATGCCAGCCCTGCTATGTTCTTTTTTTTTTAAAAGATTTACTTATTTTATTTGAAAGAGTTACACAGAGAGAGAAGGAGAGGCAGAGAGAGAGGTCTTCCATCCACTGGTTGACTACAATGGCCAGAGCTGCGCCAATCTGAAGCCAGGAGCCAAGAGCTTCTTCCGGGTCTTCTACATAGGTGCAGGGGCCTAAGGACTTGGGCCATCTTCCCCTGCCTTCCCAGGTACATTAGCAGGGAGATGGATCAGAAGTGCCCATATGGGATGCTGGCACCGCAGGCATCTGCTACACACAGCACCAGCACCTATGTTCACTTCTTTAGTCCCATTTCCGTCTTGAATATAAGCTGGTGAGATTGTCCCATATATGATAATGAAAACACAGAGATTCAAGTTGCCTGTCCATTGTCGCACAGCCAGGAAGAAGTGGGCCTGTGAGAAGATCCTGGAATGATGGGGATTGTTGTCCAGCTCTGTCTCTCTGAGCTCAGGACCATGTATGGCTGTGGCAGGGGGCACAGAAGATACATTAAGTTCTGGGGATACTGATGAGCCGCCCTACCTTAAGAAGAAGGATGACATGGGAACAGGAACAGAACCTGTTCCGAACAACAGACACTGTCAGCATACCGTCAGCATTTGTAGAAGGAAGGACAGGTTTGTCTCATTTAATGAATGAGAATTGAGAATAACCTGGGTTCCAGAGTTCAGCAGCAACAAGAGGAAAAGATGGGATCAGCGTCCAGAACATTCTAACTGGAAGTTGTGTGTTCTGTAGCATTGGAGGTGTTAAGTATAAACCAGACGGTGTTTTGCAATGGGCAGAGCAAAGAGCTTGGTGCCAACTCAGGTGACTAGTGGCTGGGCCAACCCTAGGTTCCTGTGCCTTCGTGCCAGGGGAAGACAAAGGAGGGTGTGTGCAACCAACACGCTGTTCAGTATCTCAGAAAAAGGCAGCCTCCTTCCTCCTGGCTGACACTGTACCCTCTGGCTGTCTTCTCTGAGTTCCCATTCTTCGTGGCGGTGATGCTGTTACTGTCAGCTGTCCTGGAAAAGGGAGGACATGGACAATAACGTGGTCAGAAGCCCCGTGCTTGACAGGCGGCCTCAAGACCAGGATTCTCCTGTGCGAACAGCCTTCTTCCTTGTGCCATGGACGTATAATCTAAGCTGCTGCATGGTGGCCTGCTCTCAGCACCCTGGCCCCTGGGAACGTGACAGCTCATGGGAAGAGCCCTTGGTGCTCTGTTTGCCCAATGGTTGGTTCTGTACGTTGGCAAGAAGATTTCAGGCAATGCGAGGGCATTTTCATTACAGCCTTGTCCCATAACCGTGTAGAAAGCTAGAACTCTCTGGAGCAGTCAGTAATGGTGGTCATACCATTCCTTCCCCCATTCCCTTCCCGCCCTGTGTTTTTTCATTATTCAGTGCTGATAAAACATCATAGACTCAGTAGTAGCTTTCTAGAAGGCTTGTTTTTACTTTAATTTTCCCCCCATGACTCACCCTTTGGTGCTGAGCAGCCCAGTAGGTGTGGGATTGCTCTGCAGGTGAGAGGCGGTAGAAGTGGTTTTGGGAAGATGACCCCCTGCCATTGCTTTGTTTCAGACTGGCTATCCACGGGCCTTTTGCCCTCTCTTCAGACTTTATTTCCCCAAGAATGCATTCAGTTTAGGAATGATGTTGTGGCCGGCGCCGCAGCTTACTAGACTGATCCTCCGCCTTGCGGCGCCAGCACACTGGGTTCTAGTCCCGGTCAGGGCGCCGGATTCTGTCCCGGTTGCCCCTCTTCCAGGCCAGCTCTCTGCTGTGGCCTGGGAGTGCAGTGGAGGATGACCCAAGTCCTTGGGCCCTGCACCCCCATGGGAGACCAGGAAAAGCACCTGGCTCCTGCCATCGGATCAGCGTGGTGCGCTGGCCATAGCGCGCCGGCTGCGGCGGCCATTGGAGGGTGAACCAATGGTAAAGGAAGACCTTTCTCTCTGTATCTCTCTCTTACTGTCCACTCTGCCTGTCAAAACGAAACAAAACAAAAACAAAAAGGAATGATGTTGTTTTCTTTACTGCTCTATCTCTCACCAAGTCTTGTTAGAGAGGAAAGAACCCTGAGATCACATGGGGGGGGGGGGGGGCGTGCAAAGTCGTGTGGGAGCCCAGGATATGGTTGCTTTGTGTATGAATTGGAAAGAGGCCAGGCTGGAGAGAAGCACAAACAGCTGACGTAGAGGAAGACGCAAGCTGTGCTTGTGCCTGAGTGTTTCTGCTGAAGCCTCATACAAGACCAAGTCCAGCAGCCACTCCTACCTGGAGAGACAATCTGTGTGTGTATGGGTATTTGTATCTCCCTCTCTCCCCTTCTCCCTTTTTGCATTTTTTCTTTCCCTCTTAAGATTTATTTTATTTATTTGAACGGCAGAGTAACAGAGAGGGAAAGACAGATCTTCCATCTGCTGATTCACTCCCCAAATGGCCAAATGTTTGCCATGGCTGGGAGTGGGCCAGGATGCAGCCAGGAGCCTAGAACTTCATCTGGGCCTTCCACATGGGTAGCAGGGGATAAGTTTATCCTGTGAAAGTTTTTAAGGTATTTACATTTAACATACAATAAACCATTCTTGTCTCAATCCTATAGGATGCTTACAGTTCCCTGTAAGAAGCTGTGGGTCTCTGCCCACATCATCTTCTCTTTGAATTTTCCTTTTCTAATCTTTTTGGGTTTTTTAAAATATTTTTATTTACTTACTTGAGAGGTAGAGTTACAGAAAGAGAGAGGGAGTGACAGAGAAAAAGTTCTTCCATGTGCTCATTCACTCACTAGATGGTCGCAACGGCCAGAGCTGAACTGATCCAAAGCCAGAGCCAGGAGCTGCCAGGACTCGAACCAGCACCCATATGGGATGCAGCTGCTGCAGGTGGAGGCTTAACCCAGTCCATTACTCCACAGGGCTAGCCTCCCCCCACCTTTTCTAATCTTATTTGTGACAGTTACGTGTTTACATCTGACTACTATAGTGTCTCCCTGTCTTCAGGCACACAAGAAAGTCTTACAAGCTGAAAGAAAGGCCAGTCCATATTTGTACCTCCAGCATAGAAATCCCTCCTGCATACCTGCTTCCAGGTGTGCCCTAGTCTTCTTGGATGTGAACTGAGCTCTGTGTAAGAGCTGGAAGGTAGGGGATGTGCCCCGTGGCAGACAGGTGCCAAAGCTGGGGCTGGCACTCTGGTATTGCAGGGAAAGCCACCGCCTGCAGTGCCAGCATCCTGTATTGTTGCTAGTTCGAGACCCAGCTGCTCCACTTCTGATCCAGCTCTCTGCTGTGGCCTGGGAAAGCAGTAGAAGATGGCCCAAGTCTCTGGGCCCCTTCACCCATGTGGGAGATCTGGAAGAAACTCCTGGCTCCTGGCTACAGGTTGGCACAACTCCAGCCGTTATGGCCTACTGGGGAGTGAACCAGCAGATGAAAGACCTCCCTCTCTATCTGCCTCTCTGGCACTCTGTGTGTAACTCTTGACTTTCAGATA